GTAAAAGGAAACTTCTTCATCCAAATCCTGAACTCCTATGACGTCAAAAAAAAAAAAAAAAAAAAAAAAAGGACTTGAAAAGTTAAAAGAAAAGCAACAAAACTCATACCTAGGTTTCTCAGTAGACAGACAGACATTTCCTCAGCATTAACAGAGGCATCCTTGTCTCTGCGGTAGGGAGAAATTTGGGTTTTTTTCTGATTAGTAATTACTTAACAACAACTATTTTACACTGTATAATTTAACTTCACAAAGAAAGAAAGGGGATTTATCACATCACAATCTCTGGATCCTTTTATTTTAATGCTGATGATACTGGTCTCATAGGTAACAACAGAAGTGTGAATATTTAATTTTGTTTTGATCTTTCATAAAAAATACTAAAACAAGCAATACACTTATTGACATTTATCATGTCTTAAGATTATAAACACATAATGTTTATTACGTGATCCCTTCAGCTRACCAGATGGAATGGCCACTGCTACATTTACTGAATTGAAATAAATGCACATAAGAAAGATCTCTTCTACTTTTGCAAATACAATATTGCAATATAAATAGTCTTTGACGGGTATCTTGAGCACTTTGCAAAAGCATGCATGTCTTTAAGCACTGAATGTACAGCATTAACACAGTAAAAACTTTTCCCTGTGCATCTTCTAATCCTTTATTTAATTTAGCTTTAAGTGACTCAATAAATCAGTTTTATGTCACTTCTGTATCCAGTGGCACTTTCTCAAACACACAGTGTCATCACAGGGTTTAGCAGGGGACCACATGTACAGCTGAACAAATCTGCCCTGAGGCCAAAGTAAATGGAAGCTAAAATATGTCTTACATGAACTTTGTTCACCAATGTCTATATTAATATATTTTATATCATATTTAAGACCCAGTAAGAGCATAGRTATCATTAACCTCCCCTTTCCTCAGACACCTGCAGCTTATAAAACTTGTGATTCGGTCACTTGCCTGTGCCCAAAGAGCTCAAGGTATTTTTCCATGATTTACATAATTTATCCACTCAAACCTTTTGCGAATTTTATTCAGTTTCAAGTTTTATTAAAACACATTATAAATCTTCTCTWGTTTGTCAATATTTATTCCCCTAAAAATATTTGTATGATCCTAACACAACAGCCGTTGTTTTCACTACAAAGGTGTCCATACTGCAGATGAACACCCACAGCTTTGTAAGCACTTGGGCATGTAAAGCTAAACAGCATTATCACTAAAAGCTTTTGAAGCAGACACAGCAGCTGCAAATAAAACTGTACTCAACAGAGGGTGCTCTAAACCTACAAATAAAGATCCAATTCTCAGCAATTTTACTGATCAAGGAATCAATTCAAGGGAAAGAGGGATATTATTCTAGTTTAGAGGAGAGGTCTCAGAATAGCAGAGCCACATGATAAGTAAATTCGTATTTAATTAGATGAGCAGGTTGAGAAGTTGATTTTCACTAAAAAGAAATGATAAAAATTCATACACACAAACAGCTCCCTAGAGTTAGTAATTATAGTACCTATATTTACCTATGATAACCATAGTAGATGGTTATTTAACCAGTATATTATTTTGATTTTACTTTTAACGAAATTAGTGTTTTCAATTACTTCTATAAGCAAGCAGCATGTGATAATAATGAGACTTCTTACAGCTTAAGTCAAGCACAGCAGAAATTACATCATTATTTTCATTTTCTGGTGAGAACACAGGTATGAAGGGGAACACAAGTTGACTAGAGGGAATCAGTATAGAATATACAGCCACATTAACTAGAAGAGCTATAATTAACACCAGATTGGTTATAGCATTGACAAATCAAGGTCACCTCACCAGCATTTCCAAGAGTCAMTCTGTAGCAAAACAGCATCTCCCAAAACAAGGTCCCACTCAGAAACTGGGATTGAGCAGGGCAGAGGAAGACTTACAGAAATTAGTATTTTGGGCTCTTTCAAAATAACTATAAAATAACTTTAAGAATTAACTATAACCAGATTCCCTACTGAACCAAATTCTGACTCAGTGGCCTGTTACAAAAATGGTCAAAAGAAAAATTTACCAGATGAATATACTGCTAATTTTAACACCTTTGTAATTTCAAGGCAGTTTCAATTTGTATCTTCTGCTCCTTTTTTTTTTCTCTGTGTGTGTGTGCGTGTGTGTGTGTGTGAGAGAGAGAGAGAGAGAGACAGAGAGAGAGAGAGAGAGAGAGAGAGAGGGAACCTGAGAGGATTTCCAATCTTAAAAAAGTCCACCAAATAAAAGCAAAGCATGAAAGCACACAAATACAAAACTGAAGTCTTGGGAAGAAATGACCGATAGTCCTATATTCTCCTCATCCTGACAACCAGTAATTCTATCAACTGCAAAAGGATTTTTTCCCCACAAGAGCTTTTTATATGTTGTTAGGAATTGTGCTGCAAACTGTTAGCAGCAACACAGGCAAGACAAGGCATGACAATACAAGGTCCTTCTGGGCCTTTCTAACCTGACATCAACTTCATGAGCAAMTCAGAGGTAGAAAATCTGCCTTCATCATGCACTTGAACACTCTGGCCTCAACCAGATAGGCAGCCTGACCTCGACTTCAGGAGGACTGGGCCAGGGTTACTATTTGTTCATTTCACATAAAATAACAAACCTCTTAGGACTAATGGATTCGGTAGCATCCCATCCTCCAACACAGCACTAGCTGAGACTTTTTAAAGCTGAGTCACTCGAGCAACATGCTGCTGCCCACAGAGGAGGCTCTACTTGGTTTTCTTCCCTTCTGCACCTCTCTCGAGCTAGCCATGGCAATCACGGCTACCTAATCAGCTTGCTCAAGTTGCATGAAATTATCTTCATTTTGTTTAATTTGCTGCCAGGCTCGGAGAGATGGACCAGTCTGGCACAAAAATGGAGCAGTAATAGGGAGAAGGGTTACACTACACAGGGAAGAAAGGAGAAGCACTTCTTTTGGCAGCATTTATCCACCAGTTATTAAATTTTACCCTGTAAACATCCATGCACATGTGGCTTTGTGCATATGAGTTTCCAAAACAAGAGAGAGAAAAATGTCATCTTCTAAGAGGTGAGAGCCTGCTGTGCAGCTCCCATGCCCCATCAGTATTTGGTTTTAACAAGTGCCATACCTCAGCTTCACATCTACCTCCTCAGCCTGGATGACCGCCCCAGTCACAGGCTGCACCGTGACTGCATCTCCAGGATTCACCCTCAGGTTCTTCTGCGTGGTTTCACTGAGCCCAACCTTCCCTCCCGGGAAGCCTGCTGTGGGCCAAGCAGTACAGACCTAGGAAGAGCATCAAGAAAAGTGTCATTGGTTTGAGAGAGAGTTTTTTTCTCCTGCTTTCTAAGTCCTCCAAGAGATGAGAGGGAAAGAAAAAAAAATAAAAAAAAAAAAATGTTAAGCTTTTTTAATAAAACCATGGGCTGGGAGAAAAGACGTGTACAACTAAAATCTGGTTCCATGGGCAGATAAGACACAAGCAGCCCTGAGATATGCACTTCTTAAGATGTGCACTAAGTTACCTTTTAAAAACAAAAATGTTTCTATGTTTTGCATAGGAAACACAAATCTGCCACACAGATTTTACATATAAGCTACAGAAAACACAAAATACACACTGTTCTGACTTGGAAAACGGACAAAACTATGGTATAAAGAATAAGAGGCAAAGTTAATTCTTCTTCACGAGTTAAATATACACCTGTGCATACATTAACCACATGTATGTACATAAAAAACACACAAGTGCTTTCTGAGAAGGAACATGTAACTACAGTGTAAAAGAGAGAAGACGGCACTCACTGCATGTGCAAACGGGCGCTCCGCTTTGGTCGGTTATGGAAAACAAGCGGAACGATTAACCGTTTGGCAGGCGCAGTGCTCAGAGCGCGGCGCGGGGCGCTCACCTCTTGCCTTCCCAGCGCGCTGGTGAGCAGGGCCGGGCGCCCGATGCAGATACCGGCGCATTTCATGCTGTTCAGCGACAGCTGCACGAGGAYCCTCCGGAGCATTTTTGGAACTTTGTCATCCTCTGAAGTTTCCAGGAGAGAATTATGCGGTTTTCTTTTTAGTTGTTGTTGTTTTTCCCCCCAACACCCAGCAGCCGAGGTCAGCGTTTCCCCTCCCGAGGGACACCACAGGGGAGCGGCACGGCGCCCAGCGCAGAGCTCARACCTCGTCCCCCGGCCCCCGCCGCCACGGCTTGTGACACCGCTGCCAGGCACCCGCGGGAGCGACCGTTACCCCCTCACCGGCCGTTACGGCACGTGCTTCCCGCCCCTCTCACGCTGCCATTACCGGCCGTGCCGCCGACCGTTACCGGTCGCTCCCGCACGCGCCTCCTGCCCCTTTCCCCAGGCCGTAACCGCACGCGCCACTGACCGTTACCGACCGTTACTGGCCGCTCCCGCCCGTGCCGCCGACCGTTACCGGCCGCTCCCGCACGCGCCTCCTGCCCCTCTCCCCAGGCCGTAACTGCACGCGCCACCGACCGTTACCGACCGTTACCGGCCG